CGAGTCTGTATTTCGAAAATTAAGTGATCTCTTTAAATGAATTCCGCGGCGTTTTCAACAAAACTTTCGGGTAGTAAAGTCGTTTATTTCGTGTCAAAACGTGTATGTCACAACCTGGCCACCATATTCCACTGATTTTAATGTAATTGAAAGTGTTTGAGGCTCGCTAACACGAAAGAGGAACCAATACGAAGATATGGAAACATAAACCGCAACTTTTAAATGTGCTTGGGGCGAGATTTCCATGTTCTATATAGATTCCCTGTATCATTCTATGAAAGATCGGATATATGAAATTATTACTAACAAAAGCGGTAGTACCCACTACTGAAATTATTATTTTTTATTTCTAATAAATCAAATATTAACACGAACTAAAAATTTATGTAAAAAAAATACCTACTTTTATTTATAGACAACTTAAAAGCCTAAGTGCGTCTGGCACTTTTTTTGTACCTTTAAGAAAATGCTTGAAAAATACAATTTTGCTAAGTTTGAGTAATCATTTGAATATTATATTTAAAGTATCATTTAGTAGCCAATGTTCTTGCATATCAACTTTTTTTCAATCAACAGATGAGAGACATTACCAAGTCCAGTATACTGAAAAGGTTATGGGAGACTATATTTAGGGGTGAATAAGAGAAATTTCTACGGAACATGTCAGGAACAATAAAACAAAAGAGAAAACAACTGGAGGATCGTTATCATTTAATAAATATTAAGTCTGTACAATTTTGCACATTCTTATTAAGTTAAAATTTTCCAGTATTTTAATATAAGGTATACAAGTAATGAAAGTAATAAAAATAAAATGTGTACGTGAAGTATGTAGAGCCAGTACGAAAAATGCTCTGGACCTTTTTAATATTGAACAATGTTGGAGACTAAAAGAATATGATCTTAAATTTTTGTAAAATATTTTCCAATGTACTTCAGCACCATTGTGAGTAATAATGTAATTTTATTAAAGAGACCTCGTAAAAAAAACTGAACTGCCTAGAAGAGACAACGACGACAGCATTGCTTTATCAATAATAGAATTCCTTGGTTAACTATTTATTGTGTCATTCAGCGCTATATTAGCGTGTCAGTATTACTTTTAAATTTATGCGGTCTAAAAATAAATAAATTTGTGCATTTATAGCCACTGCAAATCAAACGTACTAGTTAACTATTTAATATACAGTACATATTATTTTTTCGAAATCAAGTTCTGCTGTCAACAACTTGATCCCAACAATCCAACTGACAATTTTTGCGCATTAAGTAAAAAGACTTAATACAAATTTGAAAGTGATATAACTTTGAAAGTTCTAGAACACTTAACATAGTTTTAATTCTTTTCCATTCTAAGTAAGCCAGCGGTGCTTCCCAAAAAGTGACACAAACATTCAAACATAAGAAAAAATTTGCACAAATATGACAAAAAATAGGCAAAGTTAAATAGAAGAACAAGCTACGATTAAATCAATTTCATATTTTTATATTTTAAAGCTCATGCAAAAGTTATAAAATATGAAATGAATTAATCAAGAGACTTGTAACAAACTGACAAAATATTTCGAATTATTCAAATAACCAACTACTTGCACGTACACACACCTTCGAATATGGAATTATTTGTAGTTAATAGAAAAACTTAAAAATTAATTCTGATTGAAGAAAAAACTCATAAAAATGATTTATACCAAAATGCGCAGAAACAATGGATTGAGAAAACACAAGAACGTTTAAAATTCTAAACCAAATGCAGAAAAAAAACCATTCTTGGGCAAGAAATATGTCTTGCAAAAATCAATCCCACAATAAGCTTAAAGCATAAATGAAAAACATTGAACTCAATTAACGACTTAGTGCCATTAAGAGAATAATTACGGCGAGTAAAGTGCTTGGATAAAGATATGTATGTAAGTGGAGCAAAGCTTAGCTAATTTTTACTCAAGCCAAGCGGATATACATATACTGCTGTATATAATATATATATTATATATCAATATATATACTACATATACATACATAGCTCTATATTTATTTATTTTGATACATAAGTATAAGCACTTTATATTTTTATAGAGCTTTTGAAATACTTTGCTGTGTGGCATATTGTGCGCAATGTATGCCGCGCATGCGCAGTGCAAGTTCATAGAATTTTATAACTCTTTTTCATTATTTTTTAATTGGTGATTTCAGTGCGGTTTTGCAATCGGTAAATTACATGTGCAAGTAAATGAAATTATTTTTTTTTCTATTTTTTTTCGCTTATATATTGATGCACACACACATTCACAGATATTCGATTCTGTAACACTTTGCAGGTGTACATTTGTTGTTATAAACACTAACTAAGTTTTTATGGCAAATTCTGCGCGTCAATGCAACCAGCGCTAGTGCAAGTCTGTGCTAGCTTATACTCTGCAGGCAGACCCACTTATACGCCGTTCAAATGAGTTTGTATTAACTAACCTAGTTTTTTGGCGTGCGCATGCATTTATGGCAAATTGCATAAATGCTTGTTTCCAGATGTCATTGGCTTGTGGAAAACAACTGAGAGCATTTTATTATGTGTTGTTGTTATTTTGCACTATTTCTCATAAATTTCATTTCTATTTTTATGTAGGTTTTTTTTTTTTTGTTTTGAGAAACTCACTTCTTAAATAGCTAAAATATATATATATGGATCTATATGAATTGCTGGAGAAGTGACAATTTCTAACGAACTACAATAAAATAAAGAACAAACACTTTTTTTAATAAAAGTGTGTTCAAAGGTCCGCAAAATATTTCTAAATATTTAAGCCACAAAATATTTATAAAAAGATTTGGAATCTCTCCTCTTTTCCAAAAGTATAAAAGTATTCTAAGCCAGCTTTAAATATTTGAAAGACTATAAGCGTCGAGCAACCTACACAGGGACTCTCCAGGAATTTGATTATTTGTATATACGAACTAGTCCGACAGTTCTGCTTATTTCTATCATTTATCAAGGAGCTATCAATTTGACGAAACGGCCGACTTTGGACCACTATAACATACACATAGCTGCCATGCAAAGTGTGCAATCGGGTTCAAGAGCTTGTATGGAAAACTTTTTCATTTGATGAGATATATTTACGAAATTTGGCACGGGTTATTGTCAAAGCCTATAATGTAATATCTTAAGGAACTGTTCAGATGGCATCACTTTAGCACATAGCTGCCATACAAACTGTACGATCGGAATCAAGTACTTGTATGGAAAAATTTTTCATTTAACGAGATATTTGCACAAAACTTGGAACAAATTATTGCTTGAGACTATAAAGCAATATTTTAAGAAATTGTTCAGATCGAGCCATTTTAGCACATAGCTGCCATATAAAATTGACGATTCGCATCAAGTGCTTGTAGGGAAAAATTTTTTATTTGACGAAATGTTTTCACGAAATTTGGCATTTGTTCTTGTCTAAAGCAATGGGATTACCTCCGAAAAATTGGCTCAGAACGTATTACTATAACATAGCTGTCATACAAAGGAACAAATCAAAATCAAGTTCTTTTAAAGATTTTTTTTTTCTTTTTTTTTTTGTATTTGTGAAGGGTATTATAGCATGGGCTCAACCAGAGCCCTTTGTTCTCCTGAAAACATCAGAATCACACAATACAAGAGTCATTTACCATATTCGAATAGGTTTGAAAGGATTTCTGAAGTAATTGTTCTTAGGACAGTTTGTTCACTAAATTCCAGTATCTTTCTATTTGTGAAAATACTGATGAAATCACAGACTTTCAGCTATTTTTGAAAAGTATAAAATCATTTTATGTTGTATTTAGAATCCATGTTTCAATCCTCTTCCTTTGAGAAGACGAAATTAGAAGCTTAAAATTGAAAAAAAAACTTTGAAAAAAAGCTAAAATAATTATGAAATATTTTAATAACAGTTGCTATTCACACTCTCTAACTTGTCTAAAAAACATCAACTACACGCTGTTAGAGAGCTATTAGAGGCTTAGCACTATTAAACATTTATTCAAGCTGTTAACACCAATTTATTTATGTTTATTTGCCATAGCATATCATCAACCAACAATTTTCCAATGAAACATTTTTATATAATATGTTTTCGATCCTTTGAATCCTTTATTATTTACAGTTAACAATTATTAGCAATTTTTATATTTATTTTCTAAAACAGATTATCTTATTTATAGTCAAAATACAGGTATCTGCTCGAGGAGTTAAAAATTTTATTGATTTGTTACAGTCAACCCTTTCACCGTTCAAGAAAAACTGCCACAAATTATTAAAGACCATAATTTTGGCGCCAAAGGAGCAACACCAACACATGCACACCAAGAAATAAACTGAAAATATCATTTATACATCTACACTGTACGTGTGAAGCGTGTGAGGCGCTCTCGCATGTACGAATAGAAAACCGAAAGCTCTGCTTACACACACAACTTTCATGGCGCACACGTACAGTGTGTATGAAACACTTTCGATTTCATTGCAACAACCCCGAGCATGCGCAAACACACACAGCGCGTGTATGTACACGAACTCAAGCTTTCGCGACGCTTTGACTTGGCGCTTACACTCACGCAAACGAGCAAACTCACAAATGCGCTCTCCAGCGTAGCCACCAACAGCATCGTACAAGTCTTTTACATGCGCTTAATTTCCATAACTTCACCATCGCAGGCAGCTAGCTGAGCATTTTTGATGCCTTTATATGCAGCCACCCCTCCCGCCCTGTCAGCTGGATGGACAACTGCTTCACGACCTTTGTTGTTGTTTCAATAATGGCAATAATAGCTAATTGCAAAAGTCTTCGTGAGTGGCACTAACGCTGTCGGCAATCATATGCAGAGCTCGCTTTGGCTGCTGCTGCTGCTGCTTCTGTTGCTGCCGTTGGTCGCATCCGTGCCTCTCCCTTCACGCCCGCTAATCGGACCGCCCGTCAACGCTTTGCGGTAGTTCTATAAGCGTGCGTCGGTATAAAAGCTTGTGGCGGCTGGTCAAAATTATTCAGTATCTGTTGTAGGTTCGTTGTTATTAGAACGACCTCAGCCTCCAAGTAATATATTTGACTTAAGCGCTTGCAATTAGCGTTTGTGATTTGCTAAAAGTATTTGTGTTTTTGATTTCAGATTCGTTTCATTTATTTAACTGAATACTTTTAAAAGACGAGCAAAGCAAGTGGTTAAAGCAGCGCTTTAGTTGTTGGTGATAATTAAATTTGTGAAGCAAGATGAAATCTCTGGTATGTTGTGTGAAAATTGAAGAAAATTAGAGAAATTTAAATGTAAGAAAACAGAATTTGAAACAGCTGTAAGAGACTCAAAGACTTGACGGTGCTGTATGAATATAAGAAAACTGTGCTGAGTGATTATTTTACACAAAAAATTGAATAAGCCAAGAAAAAGCGCAAATGCAGCTTGGAGACAGAAGTGGTGTTGAAAAATGTGCAACAAGTTTCAAGAGAATTTAGTTTCTGAAATGTTGGGTCATGCAATGAATATGATGGCATTTTTTAAATCAATATGACTGAATTAAATATTTTGTAATCATTTTTTTTTTTTTAATTTTTGTGTTAACTGTGAGTTCCAAGCAATTTGTAAAGCTTTATTTGTTAAAGTATGAATTTAAAAGCGGTTTTTGAATTGTCAAAAAAATTTTTCAAATATATACCATAAATTCAAAACATTTTGCAACTGCTGCATTTGTATTGTTTTGGACCTATGACAACATAAACACCTTTTGTCGCCTTTATTATAACCAAAAGCGATAAATAAAAACAAAATAATAGAAGATATAAAAAACTATTTAAAAATTACAATTTTTTCTACTATTTATAATAAATTCAAAAACTTTATTTTTTTCTACCTTAC